TGCCTCTTGTCCACTGTAGAATTGAAAGGGAAGGACTAGATGGCAGGAAAGAAGAAAATACCAAGGAGGGAAAGGAAGCTTGGAGGAGACTGAAAATGAGGAAGGGGTAGGGAACGATGACAGATGAGTGTCTGTTTTTTTCATCTGCAGGGGGTCTATCCACACCCATGTTTCTGGGCTCCTCCCTGTTGGACTCACGCCATGACTGCCAAATCCCTCTCCTGACCTACTTCTGTCCACCCTGAACACTGTTGCTAAATGAGTCTCTCTAAATCAACACATTTCCTCTTTTAGCAGTTCACAGTTGTTTTCAGAACCCACGACAATTTGGCCTCAGCATCCTGTTCTATTTCATGCCTTCCTTCCACTCGTTCATTTATTAAACAAACGTTCAGTGGGAAATGCAAACATGAACTGCCTGGTCTAATTAGGCCACTCCACTCTCCGCACGTTCTTTGATATTCTGTGGCCTCTCCCGTCTTCTGCAACTTGCTCATCAGTGCCTTTTTCTAACATCTACCACCCTTGCACCCACAAGACTTGAGGACATTTTATTGTATTTTTTATGTTCTTCACATTTCCTAGTTAGGCTCCTCACACGTAGCAAACCTTCAATAAGCATCTCTTAAATGACTTGATGCTTAAAGAACGGAGCAATTATACGATAAACTGCTTAGAGAAACATAGGTTGTTGAAGCAGTGGGGAAGAAAACTAGTAAGTTTAACATTTTTAAAGAGTCCACCTCTTTGTTACTAATTACCTATTGTATGAAATATTCAACTTTTTACTCAAAGTCCATATTGACTATCTCTCTTTGTGTATCAACCATCATCAGCAAACGATGGATATATTAGAAGACCATATATCTTTTTATTCTGTCCACACATTTTACACATTCAAAAATAATATCAGGTTAGTATTTGGGAGAGGGAAAAGTGATATTTATCAAAGGCAATATTAACCTTTTCACTAAAATACATTACTTTCATATGATTATCATTTCTTTTATAAAGCATCATTTATTGAGCATTCACTGTGAGCAGGACTTCGTGTGAGATACTGTGGGATACAAGGTCCAGTTATCAAAAAAGACCTCGAAGGGCAGAGGTGGCCAAGAGTTTGACGTGCGGGTCCAAAAAGTGCAGTCAGTGATTCAGTGCTTTGTGGAGGGTGGAGGCTGGAAAAGTCAGGGAAGACGGAGGAGATGCTTGCGCTGGGCATGGGAAGATCATTGGGATGCAGATGAGCAAAGGGAAAGGCAAAGCCCGAGGGAAGGCAGTGAGGGCCTTGTGCAGTATTTAGAGATTCTAAACATGATGACCTTGCAGCTAAAATGCTACAGCGATTTCTAAAGCAGCCACGGAGAAGAGTGTGTTCTGTGTCCTAGGAATTGAGGAAGCCATGGTGGTTCCTATGGTGATTATGGGTTAAAAGGGTTATTGAGGTAACCAAGGCACCAGTGCCCTAACCTTCCCCAGTAGGCGGGTATTTGCCATCATCACCCTGTGGCCACAAGAGTGACAATGCTGAAGAGCAGCAATTGTGTCACAAATGTTCTCACAGAAATTCACCCAAGCTCTCCATGAAGTAGGTGGCAAATGGGAAACCGGCTGACAGGCTGGTGTCAGAGACACAAAGTCGCCTGTTTTAGGGATAGTTCCTGTCCAGGGAGATTGGCAGAACATCTTCTTAAGTTGGTGGTTAGAATTTCTGTTACTTTACCAAAGCCACTGGGTCCCTGAGATCTGTTTGAGGACAATGTCTTCATCATCTCCAGGTCCCCGATGCCTAGTCCCAGTGGTTGGCAAATATGGGTCGGGGGGGGGGGGGATGCAGTTGGGAGGTGGGGGGAGGTGCTCAGTTAATGTTTGGAAAGCTAACACGTGAGTGAATGGATAGAGAAAAGGGGAACATGAGAGTTTACTTATTTATCTTTCTAAAACTTGGGGGGAGTTTTGGTTAACTGCAAAGACATATCTGTGAACAGATGATGCTCAGTGGAAGCTAAGAGATCGGAATGGGAGCCCACGAAGTCCTGTGTGTTGTAGCCATACCAGGCTTTGCTTGGGAGCTGCTTCTGATTCCTCTCTTTTCCACTGTGCTGTTGAACAAGTAAGGCCTGAAAAAGGACACTTGCAGGGTTCAGTGGTTTCCTAAGAAACGGAGGTGGAAGTTGTGGGAGCAGAAGGAAAAGAGTCTGTGTTGTTTTGGGGGGTGGGGAGAAGATTTTGTGATGCTGGAGCCAAGCTTGCGCACAATAGAGTCTGGGTGTGTAGACGTTACTTCATCAACGATTTTTGCCGTTTTCTGTCTGAAAGTAGAAAAGCAACTGAAAGGAGAAGGAAATAGAAATGAGAACTATGATTTAATGTATCAAATTTTGTGGGGGTTTTTTCTTCAACAGTTGATTGTTCTTCAACTCTATTATCTTCTTTTTATCATTATTATTCTACTTTTCCATTTTGATTGCTTTGTAGGATTAAAACAAACAAAATAGACATGAGAATATATCTGATAAAGCAAAACCTGAACGCTATTAGTCATTCCGTTCCAGACCCATGAGATGGGACAACTTTGAACTTCATCCATATAAATGTTCCACTCGTACATTTTTATGTCTTGATGTCAGAGTTAATTTCAGTTACAAATGGGCCTCTAACCTATCTGGCTTGTAGAACTTACAGACATTTGGGACTTATTACTCATGTAAATGTGGCCTTACTCTCTAGTCAGTCATTGTTAAGTATAATGTTAAATTGAATAAAATTACATTTGAAACCAAGACCATTTTAAGCTTATATCAGCTCTAATCAGCTTTGAGAGTATGTCGATGTCCAATGAAATGAAGGCCTCAGGAACTCTATGGCCCATTTTCTCAAGTGAGACAAAGCCTCTGAGATTCCAGGAGCAGGTTCCAGTTAAACCTGGTCACAGACCATTGCCATCCCCCGTCCTGAAACCCTGCAGATCATTCCACCACTGGAAACCTGTGGAATGTGCCCAAATAGGAGACATTTCAAATTCGAGGGTGAGACTTATCAGTTGATTACCATCATCTTCGTTATTTAAATCCTCTTTTGTGTTTTCTGTTTTGCCCAATTAACAGAGAAATAATAAGTTTTCCGTGTGTAGTTTTATTTGACCCAATGCAAAGGTTTCTCTGATTTAAGTTCTTCTGTTTGCTATCTTTAACCCCCTCCTGAGTTACATCATAGTCATTATTAGGTCTCTATATTTACCATGAAATTGTTTTATGAATTAACAGTCAGTCTCTGCTTGTAGAATTAGAAAGGGAGCAACTTCCAACGTAGGACAAAAGCAGGATTAAGAGTGACATGTCATAATATTCAACTATAATAACATCTCTGAGCAAAACTTGATCGCCAGTATTTCTTTGTGGAGCCCAGAAGCTATGTTGGTCACTTTCTGATTTCCCTGCTGATCTTTGGGGACATTTTCTTCCACTGATGGAACTGTCATTCTGTCACAGGGAAAGACAACAGAGTAATGTAACATGGTAACTGGCCAAAGTACGGGCTCAGGCTGGCCTGTCTAGGTAGTTTCAGTGAATTGCTCGTCCAGATTTAAAGGGAAGCCAGTGTTACTTGAGGTTTTGAAGTTTCTTTAGCACATTTTAAAACTATTTGGCAAGATATTCAAAATAACTCAATACAGTAAATGTATCGTTTTAAATATTATAGTGCATCAATTATTTTTAAAATAGCATTAAAAACATTGTACCCTTAATATCCTTACATTTGTCATTGCATTTAATAGGTATTACTTTTTTTAAAAAGCAGTTTAGATTGGCCAAGGGAAGCTTGGTGGTTTTTTCAGAATATTTCAGGACACTTGTCCGCCTCACAGAAGTCAGGGTGTTACTCCTCATGCACCTGCGGCGGGATGTGTGGCCCATTCCACTGGCAGCTGCTCAAATTATGAGAGGGATTTTCCTCATTTTGAATCATATTTGTTTTCCTTTAGTGCCTGCTGTTATTTCTTTACATGCTGATTTCTCTAACTCTCTTCTTGCCATTTAAGCCAGAGGTACCTTGATCTTTACCTGATCATTTTGGAGCCAATCATTTATAAAAGATATTTCTTTGCAAAGTTCCATGAGATGTCATTAGGTGAGATAAGACCTGTAATTATGATAACCATAGCAGATGACAATTAATAGCATTCACTGAATATTTGTTGCATTTTTGTTTTTAAAATATCAATCTGGTACACAGGAATGCACAAGGGCTTTGAAATAATTTTTTTTAAAAAGCCTAGATTCTGTTGTTCAAGTACTAACTTTCTCTAGGATCTTGGGCTATATTTTCTACCTTTATCAGTCTCTGTATTCTCAGTATCCATTAAGTACCTGGCACAGTTCCTAGCATATAATAGTTGCTCAGTGAACATTAGTCTCCACACCCAACCATTCCACACACACCCTTCCCCTCCCCCACCCCCTTGTGATCCGGAACAGGACTGTAAACAGAAAAATAGGAGCCTTGGCTTCCAGTGGCTTCCAGCTTTAACCTCTCTGGTCCTGCAACTTCCTTGCATGTTTCCCTGCCAAACGGTCTCATGTCTACTACAAAAGTCTGTTGTGAGAATCCACTAAAATATTGGATTGGTAATAACTTTCCAAATCACGATGTGTTTGTTTTCTTAATGTAAGTAAGGTATTGTAAATGCTGGTAGTCATTTATTGGAGAATAACTGCTGAATGGATGAATAATCTAGTCCCACCCTCCTCCCTCCCCACACTGGAGCAGGGAGGGAAATCCCAGAAAACTGAATGTTGAAAACTGGCTCACACATGTTTATGGAAATATGCACATGTGGGAACATGCACCTGATCAGTGCCAATCCAGCCAAACACGCTCATGTGAACATTCGGCAGAAGAGCCCATGGCTCAGCGCTGACATGAACCCTACAAAGGGTTAGCACCCGGGGTTACAAGGGTCCATGAATGACTGACACTCCTCCTTTACTTTCTTCCAGGAATTTCTATTACATCACCATGTTGCGTGATCCGGTGTCCCGTTACCTGAGCGAGTGGAAACACGTCCAGAGAGGGGCTACGTGGAAAACCTCCCTCCACATGTGTGATGGGAGAAGCCCCACCCCCGATGAGCTTCCCACCTGCTACCCCGGGGACGACTGGTCTGGGGTTAGCTTGCGGGAGTTCATGGACTGCACCTACAACCTGGCTAACAACCGCCAGGTCCGCATGCTGGCGGACCTCAGCCTGGTGGGCTGCTACAACTTGACTTTCATGAACGAGAGCGAAAGGAACACTATTCTGCTGCAGAGCGCAAAGAACAACCTGAAGAACATGGCCTTCTTTGGGCTCACGGAATTCCAGAGGAAGACACAGTTTCTCTTCGAGAGGACATTCAACCTCAAGTTCATCTCCCCCTTCACACAGTTCAACATCACGCGGGCTTCCAACGTGGAGATCAATGAGGGTGCTCGCCAGCGCATTGAGGAGCTGAACTTCCTGGACATGCAGCTTTACGAGTACGCGAAAGATCTCTTCCAGCAGCGCTACCACCACACCAAGCAGCTGGAGCACCAGAGGGAACGGCAGAAAAGGAGGGAGGAGCGGAGGCTGCAGCGGGAGTCCAGGGGCCACCGGTGGCCCAAAGAGGATGGGAACCCAGAAGGGGCAGTCACCGAGGACTACAACAGCCAGGTGGTGAGATGGTGACCCCCCGCCCTCTCCTCCCTCTGGAGCGGGAGGGTGATCAGGTGCACTGCCCTTCTGTGGCATTTCCTTGGAGACCGTGGGCCATTCTGAAGGCATCTGGCCATACGTGGCTTGAGCTGGGCACATCACATGCTTCCTCTTTGTCTTCATATTACCCGGAAGGAGATGATGAGGCTTATTCTTTTCTTCCTGACATTTTCCAGTCTGGGATATTAAGTAGGGCAAGAGTGTATCCAGTGTGGATTGCGTTGGAAGGTCGAGGAGAGAAGCGCCAACAAGGAAACAGTCCTTGCGATCTCCTCTGCAGCAGCATAGGTTACAGCTGGGTGACTGGAACCCACAGAGGCAGACATGAAAAGCCAAATGATGGCTTGGATGTTCTGCTGAAACTGGTCTGTTTCATACTGTCTCTGTAATGGAAATATTGGTCTGTTTCAAGAGGGAGAACAAGAAGTCCCTTTCAACCCTTTGATGAGGTTTTCGGCCAGCCCTCACTTTGCTGTTGGCTGTCGTCTTTGAACTCTATTTGAATGTGGTTTAAATCATAAGAAGAGTAGTGTGTTTTGTTGCAGTCTTTTAAAGCAAGATTTTCCCACTCTTGACCATCACGACAGACTCACATCCTACAAAGCCCTGCATTCTAGACCTGAGCCACATTTTCTTCCCCACTTTTTAGGGAACTGCAAGACAGGGGTGCCTGTGGCCCCATTGGTAGGGGCACTTGGGAGAAAATGTGCTTATTCACTAATGCCTAAGGAGATCACAAGTTACCCAGTTTTATTTTCAATGTAAGGAATGGATGCTGAGGGGAGAGAGAGCAGGAGGATAAACATATGTCTACCATCTCCAAACTGGCTACAGAACTTAGTTTTATTCTTTTTTTAAAGAATATTTCAGAGTGTCATGTTTTTGGAACTGTCATCTTCTTTGATAAGGTACTGCTGGGTTTGAACTCTGTCGTCACAGAGGAAAAGACATTTCAAAGGAATTTGGTCTGAAAATGGGAGCTTAGCTAGCAGGCATACAAACGGTCCCTAAATAAATAATAATTTTGATTTAGGCCAGGAGATATGGAACACAAGGAGGTGGTTACCCCAAAAATCTAAAAAGACTCTGTCTCCAAAAGTCTTGAATATTTCTAGCCTGATAACCTTTTTCTCCCTACACAGACTTCACCTGTTGCTGGACTGTGGCTACAGCTGGAGAATCCGTCTAGACTCACAAGGGTGTCCAACCTGTGACCCGTGGGCTGCATACAGCCCAGGATAGCTATGAATGTGGACCAACACAAAATAGTAAATTTACTTAAAACAATAAGAGATTTTTTTCCATTAGTGTTTATGTTTTTAATGTGTGGCCCGAGGCAACTCTTCTTCCAGTGTGGCCCAGAGATGCCATAAGTTTGGTCACCCCGGTAGAGTGTACGAAACCGAACCAAAAAAAGCACTGCATTGCCGAGTGTTTCTTCTTTTCACCTTTTCCCAGTCACCACTACAATAATACAGAGTGTTTTTTAATAATAAGGGGAGACAAATGGAGAGGAAATAGACAGCCTTGCCTACCCTTCAGTAGGAGGGTCAGAGTGAGTGAAAGTTTCACAACAGATTGATCTGATCAATCCCCTCAAGGAGCTGAAGGCAAAACGAGTGAAACTCCTAAATCAGGTTGAAAAGCCTATTTCATTGATATCCAGCGTGTTTGATGTTTAAGCCAGCTTTGTATAAGCCACATCTCAGCCTCCAGAACACTCTCTCTGGGCTTGAGAGTCAATCAACCCACTGGCATTCACGGAGTGCCTGCCCACACGGAGGCACTCTCACCGAGGCCTGGGGCCTCCATCAGAGAGAGACCTGGGGAAGTTGCTTAGGGACTTCTCTCACTACCCTTGGCGTCATCTGTCATGTGAGGGGAAGGCATTATTGGGGACCTCCCTTTTGCCAGGAACTGTGGGAGGCCCTTGTCCTACTTTAAATCTATTCACCACCAGTTAGATTTTATTAGTCCCAATTTCATAGATGAGTAAAGGGAAACCCACAGACAATAAGGAGTTTCTCATGAATCGTGCACTAGGTCTGGCTGACTGCAAAGTACAAGCTCTTTTTGCTCCATCATGGTTTCCACCTGGGATGAAAGCTTCCTGCCAAGCATGCAAGAATCCAGCCGCTATTGCCCAGAAACATATGTCTCTGCCCCATATGGATGGCACAACTGGGACAGCACCAAGTTGGCAGTGACCCAGCGCCATCCGGCATTGGGTGAGTTCAGCCCTTTCCATGTCACCGACCAATCGATGAGCTCGGAGACTGGTGATTTTTTAGGCAATCGTACTTTTGAGCTATACATAAAGGTGAGTTAAAGGGGCCAAGTACATACAGGGTCTGACACAAATAATGCCCCCTTTTAATTACAAAATCTTCTGTTATGAAATCACAAGCATGTCATTCTGGACCATAACAATATCACACTCAAGCACATCATAGGACATTTTAGGCGAAATGTTCAAATGAAAACTATAAGTTATTACACTCATATGTTGACCCTACCAACCACACTCCAGCAGGCTTTACTTCTGCCAGACCCTGTATTTCTTGTTGGTTGGTAGAGATTAGGCTCACAAAACATTAATGTTTCCTTTTCCAGTGATTTGTTCCTAAGGTAGGGATGGAAGGAAGATTGCAGCTGGGATTAATGGGGAGCTCTTTCTCTCTGTCTTCACATTTAGATGCCAGGATCTAATATTCTGCCTAGGATGGCAAGACTGCAAATTATCCCTCCGGCTTCCATCGTGACACACACGCACATACGTGTGCCCACATCCACACATGTGTGCCCACACCCACACATGCACGCACCACCATGATAATCCAGTACTTTGTCATGTGGGAAATCAAAACAAGTTAGAAAGCATTCAGATAGTTTCTTTTAAACTCACTTTAAATTTTTGGCAGGGAATGTGTGCATAGCTGAGACTTGGAGGCAGCCTCTGATAACTTCACACTATTCCTGAGGTACCTCGGGATTTATATCAAAAGCCTATCCGTGGCCTTGCTGCTAAAGGCGTGATGTACGGTGCTCCACTGGAGACCAGATATCAGGATGTTAGAGGAGAAACCATCTCTTCTCCTTGGCCCGAGGCCGGTGCTGAGCAAATTAAAAAGACCGACAAGGGCTTTCTCCTCATGTCATTTCACTCTAAAGCAGCACACTTGTCATGTCCCCGGGGTTCTGTGTTGATGGAAACGAAGAGGTAGGCATGCAGTTTGTTCTCCGAAAGTTGACTGCACACCCACCTGCTGAATGGAGCTCAGGGACGCGATGCCAGCAGAAGGCATCTGGGCCTAAGGGTCTGTGGGAAGTTGTCAGCTTTACTCCCAAACGAAAGTGATTCCAGATACATTAGCGTTAAAAGCCCAAGAAGAGAGAAACAATGTTCCCCAGGGACTTCCACTCCTACTTACTCCTGTAAATCCCAAGTAGATATTCCTTTCCTTCTCTGGACAAGGGCAGCCCAGGAACCAGACTGGGATGAGGTTTCTCCGTACCTGTGTGTGTATGTTCAAGTTATTATTATTATTATTATTACTACTACTGACTGAGATACATAATGTCTATTCTGACTCATTTACTGGCAGCTCCCTCTTGGTAACTGAAGAAAACACTAAGAATTATTTGGATTCCCTTTCTAATAATTAATAACATTAGCAATTAGCTTGAGACAACAGTTAAGGGTATCATGTGTGCTGTATTAAAATGTATTTTTATCAGCTAAAGGAGGTAACTGTGATAAATAATTCAGCCAAAGGTTTGAAATACACAAATTTGTTCAAAAGTCATTAGAGAGATAGTATAAATATGGCAGAGAAGGTCTATCAGCTAGACCTAAGGAGGTCAGCATAGATCCAAAAAAAATAAACATAAGTGTAAAATCAGCCATTTGGCTGATTTAACCAACAAACTCAAAATGATAGTGATTTCAATAAGATTGAAGAATTGTTCTCAAGAGACAAACTGATGTATAACTATAGTGTGTGACGTTACCGGAAGCCAGCACCCTCTCCTGTTGCTTTTTCATCCTAATGTGCAGCTTCCACCTCATGGCCCAAAACAACTGCTTCAGCTCCTGCCATCTCATCTACATTTAGGACAGCAGAGAGGCAATGGATGGAAGTTGCACTTTTAGTCATATGTTGTGGGCTAGCACCTAGCTATTAGCTACATTTAGCAGCAAAGAAAATCAGAAAATGTCTTTATTATTGGTTGCCATGTGCCTTGATAAATATGAAGGTCCTATCATTAAAGACACAATGTAAAAATTAATACTGATAAAACTATTAGTTTCTGACACAAAAGGGAATTTTAAAATAGTTCAAATGATTTTCCATGTCACCTATGTTGTCATATGTTTTACAATGGATAAGATTAAAATCCGTAACTTTATATAGCATTTAATGCTTTTTAAAAACATTTTTACACTTAGTATCTCATTGCTTTTCACTGTATCCTTCTATGTCAAATAGAACCTCTATTCATTACCCATTAGATAGTGCGATGTGGAAATTCAGAGATGTAGAAAGATTCCCCAAAGAGTCTCATTTACTAACAAGAAAAGCTGCTCAGAGTCCACTCTCATGACTTTCTAGCCTTTCCTACTACTTTACACTGCTCAGCCTCGGTACTGAGTTTGGGAATTGAAAAAATGTGGACCTAACTCCTTATTGATTTACATCTCTCCTTACCCTTTCATGGAACTGCCGTGACTTGGGTGATGCCGAGGAGACTGGCCGACTGGTCAGGCCCTGCTTCTAGTGAGGGAGCCTGTTACCGGGAGTGAAATGGCAAACGATTGGCAATATCACGGGGGCTGCCGCAAAGCCCAGACATTCCCACGGCTCCTGTGGGATGTCCACCCCATCCAATCCAAAAACTTCTCAACAGGATGCCAAGGGGATGTGCTTGTACCTCCTCAGGGAAGCTCAGGGTTAGAAAGATGAAAAATCAGTAGCAGCTTGAATAGTGAAGCTTAGGGGGTGATTAGTACAACCCCTTCGTTAACAATTTCCCTTCCTCTCTACCTCTTCCCCAGAATTTTTATCAGCCACTAATTTCTTTGGTTTTTAAAGTGGTTTTTTTTTTGGGGGGGGGGGGTGTTAAATGACTTTCTCTGCACATTTGCTAGAGAGAGGAAATGCCTTCAGCTGTCATGAGTTAACACCTTCGCACAAAGTTTATCTGATTTCGTCCCAACCATGACCTCTTGCTGAGAGGAAGGTCCTATAAAATGAATCACACTGCGGCACAGGATAGGCAGAGTAGGCATAACCACAGGAAAAAAATAGAGCTCATAAAAAGGGAGAAGATTGTGTACAGGTGGAAAGATGAGGAATTAAATGTGTGCCAGAAAATACTGCAACATAGAGAATGGCTGATGTACAGCTCCTGTCCTCAAGAACAAGGGCAGGCTGGGGACTAATTCTTTTGGCTCATGAGACAGGACAAGAGCACGGGGACAGTTCTGGGGACTGTCCCCAGAAAGGAAGGCTGAGTGAGTAGGGCAAGTCGGCTCAAAGAGAAAGCTGGGTGGGACTTAACAATACCCTGATCTGATCACAGCTGTGTCTCCAAGGCTTTTCCTTTCCCATAGTTGCTGCACCCCACAGGCCTCAGGAACCCCGACTCGAAGCCTCCGGGCTGGTGGCTACCAAGGCGGGTTGAGTCTGAGGACTCAGCGCCTGCAGAGGTTCTTTCTCCAAGACACTTCCCGCTCTCTTCTTTTTGAATCCCCTTCCTCCATATCTACTGGACATAACCCTGTTGTTCTCTGACCACATTTACCTGGACTCATGTGAACTGATTCCCTAAAACTTCGAGTCAGCCCTTTTGGGCAAGTGGGTGGGTTCTGAAACCTAAGTGTTTTATAACTGAATGGGTGGAATGCACATGGACCCGTCTTCACAACCCTTGACTGAACCAACCGACCTTGCAGAGGTGCTGAGATGTCCAGAGGACTGGCCTTGCTACGAACACCAGCAACATCCGCAAGACAAACCCCCTGGACTTCCAGGCAAGGACTGGAGGTCACCTAGCAGAACTCCAGATCTGAGAAGGCGGAAGCGCAGATGTTTCTTGAGCTCGTGTTGGACGTGGTCTGTGGAAGAGACTACAATCCTTTGACACATTAAATGGCATCTCTCTGAGCCCATGTTCTGCTGCACTGTGCTAACTCATCAAAGGGCCAGACACCAGGGCTGAGCAACCTCAGTTCTCACCAGGGAAAATCACGTTCCCAGGAAGCAGAGTTTGTGCGATTTAGTCCCCGTCACATTGGTCTCCTACCAACTCGTCGCTATCTTTTTTTAAATCATATGATCAACTTTTCTCTTCTTTCCTTGTTTCTTTTTTATTCCCCCTAGAAGTACTTGCTGAGTTTTGCTTGATTGTTTTTCATTTCATGTATCAAAGATGAAAAATGTTGGAAAGAAAAATCGGAACTTTTATCTGGTGCCCCATTTTAGATGTAAAAATAGTTATATTCAATAGATAGTAAATGATTTCTCCTAAGAGATATTTTCTTTTGTTTCTGTGCAACGATATGTATGAACTCGGGTACTAAGAGATTGTATTGTGACATTATCAATCTTTATTGCTATTTAAAAAAATGATAGTTTGTAGAACGGAGGATTTCCATTGATGTGAAGCACAATTTAATGAATAAGTTAACATATTAAACTGTTGTGATGTCAAGAACAATTTTTCCCCTGTGGTTCTGTCAGACATTTTTGCAAAATGAGAAAAGTTTGTTAAACACTTTAAGGGATTTATGGAAACTGAATCCACAGGATCAGCTTTGTCAAACTCAAAAAAAATCCATGCTTTGGATACTGATGTGGTTATTGGATGTGAAACTTTAAAAGCATAAAAGACAAGGCAAATATAGATTGAAACAATTTAAAATCTCTGAGGCCAGAGAGGATTTCACCAGCTCTCAAGCACATAGGCTTCTGAAATCACGGTTCTCAGGAACCCTCCACATTCACTGCATACTCCAGCACGTTGGCACTCACTGGGAAATGTGGAAAAGCAATCTGGAGGGGAGGTGAGGAGGAAAAGACGTGAGAAAGAATGCAGGGAGAGAAAACCATGAATTGGAGCATTTGGAGCTCGGTCTGAAAGGCAGGAAAAGAGGGAGGGAGGGAAGGAGTGGGGGAGAGGGAATGGAAGAAGAAAAACAACAATAATGAAAAGTAATATGTGCCTGTTCACAGTTTTGAAGTGTATGGTTTGTCAGATGCTTAAAAATATATGACCAGGTCCTATTCCACAAGCGAAGAAAGCAAAAATGCGGAAGTCAACATACTCAACAGTTGCCACATCAAGAACGGTTGTTTCCCCCCACGATTTTGTTAGACACGTTTGCGAAATGAGAACAGTTGTTTAAACCTTTAAGGGATTTATGGAAATTGAATCCACAGGATCAGCTTTGTCCAACTAAATTGTCCAGTACAGAAAATTCTGTGAATGATGACATGGATTGTTTTCTTTTTATTCTGCAGAAGTGAGATTTGTGACACTTCCCTCGTTTATGAGTTAGTGAGTTTGGGAGCCCTAGAAAAAAGTCATTTGACTGTGTCCTTCTAACTAGTGGGAATCACCCACAAAGGGAACTTAACCTAAACAATTGAGGTAAGACATAGGACAGGCTCCAAAGGACAGCAGAAGTGCAGTGCACACACAGGTGTGTGCTTGTGCACACACACAGGTTTGGAAAGCTTCCATCTTCTAAGGAAAACCTCTGATAAGAGAAGGACTAAGGAACAGCCAAGATTTACTTTTTCATCCGATTCGCCTTGAAAACAGCATTGCAAATAAGATTGAAAAATATATCAAAAATATTGAAAATCTGCCCTCAATACGGTAATGTTTCACTATCACTATATCTTTTCATTTTCAAATATAAATCTGAACATTAATGAAGTCTAATTCAGCGTAACTACTTTGTATTTTATAAACAATGTCGATAGTTCTTATACTTTCAAAATAGTACATGATCTTAGATAATTTGGAAAACACAAGATACTGAAAACTCCATACATTTTACAGCCAAATCCTGACATTATTTTGACCTATTTCCTGTCATATTATTATGCATTAGCAATTAGAATAAAATTTTAAATAACATGTTTTAGTAAATTAGAATAATAAATCTGTGCAACTTAAATGCATATATTAACATCTTAATGCCCATTCTTTGAAAACATAATTTTAATAGCTACTTATAATTGATCATTCTCATAGTTCGGTGCATTCTGGTCATTGTCTATTTTCCCATTCATATAACTATCACTGAAGTGAACATATTTGTATGTAAACAGCATCTATGGTAAGTGTGTTTGCACACCTGCTGGAGACAGGGCAGCAGACCTCTGGATCATGTCTTCCTAACAACTCCAAAAGAAAAAATATTCCAGAGAGTCAAAAGGACACAGATGCAGCTACATGAACTGTGAAAAAAAAGTTAAAATGAAAGTTATCTATATAATCAAAATGGAGAAGCCCAAGAACTTATATGTACACCCCATGGACATAAGCTAAGGGGGAGGGAGGCTGGAGGGAAGGATGGCGTAGGGCAAAGGAGAATAAAGGGGAGGAAAAAATGGGACAACTATAATAGCATACTCACTAAAATATATTAAAAAAATAAAAGAAGCAATGTAGGCAAAAGAAAGAGAGGAAGGAAGGAAGGAAGGAAGGAAGGAAGGAAGGAAGGAAGGAAGGAAGGAAGGAAGGAAGGAAGGAAGGAAGGAAAGAAGGAAGTCATATAATCAAAAGAAAGTGTATGTAAATGTTCAGAACCATTTGTCTAGCCCTGGACTGAAGGTCTCATTCCCCCAAACCACTGTGGGTACTGGCTGCTGACTAACAGCTCTCAGTAGTCTCTCTCAAGGACTGACCCTCCCCGCAGGGTCCTGCCACGTTTTGGGGGCCAGGCCCACACAGATGAGTCTGCTGTGGAGGTAAAGGTCAGATCTTCAGACTGGCGATGTCTTCACTCCAGGGTCAGCTGAGGACTTCACTGCAAAGTACCCTAGTTCACTTTCCACGTCAGTCCCCTCCGTGGCCCTCGCTCATCAACAGGTTGTCCCTGATCAACTGTCCCCGCACCCGTCTCCACCCCGCACTCCGCCCTGCAGGGACCAAGTTCTAGCCCACACAGCCTCCTGCAGAGCGTCCCCCTTGTTGCAGAGCCTGCAGATTTCCCTTCTCGTCTTTGGAGTTCAGCTCTGAACAGTTATTTTGGCATATTTTGTCCAAGATTTCTACTTGTTTATGGCTGAAAGGAGAATCTGTGTTAGCTCAGTCTGTCAAGTTCCCAGAAAAAAGTCTGCTCTCAAATTTTTAAACCTCCTTTGATTCTGTGTTTCTGTGGCTTTTTATTATTTGGCAGATCACCACATTATTTTTATTTTGAGACTCCAGATTTTCACAATTAACTTTCATTCCTTTCCTACTTTGGGGGGAATTTTCCTCTGTTTGCTTATCTCTGTCATGAACTTCTCTCTGGTGTTCATGACATTTAATAATATTTTTACTTTCTTACCTATGCTTATATTTTATATATTTTACTTTACCTTTTCACATCTAAATTTTTAAGTTTTAATTTATATTTATGCTTGGATTTTTCCTCTTAATTTTCTTTTTCTAATTGAGTATTTTCAAACTTTGATTTTATTGGTCTTAATTTTGTATCTTTTATTTAAAAACGCCAATTTTATCTATTTTAATGCTTAACCTTTCATTTTTATTGACAGTTCACCTTAATATTCAATTTTCTATCAAAGATCATTTTTGTTTCTCATTGTTGGTTATAATTACCTCATTTTATTTTTGAAACAAAATTCACTCCTATTATTTTTAAGCAGCATGTTTTACTCAGGTAATCCTACCTGCACGATTTCTACTTTCCAAACTACACTTGGATTGCTTAGGACCTCTGTGTGCACTCAGTTTTGTAAAAATTTCATAAATACCTGAAAACAATATATGTACTATATTATTAAATTACATACAGGAGTAGGCCAAAATAGGTTTACCACTGTGACTGCACAAAACAGTCTTTGTTCTTGTTTTATTATTTGTTAATTATTGTATTATTTAATTGTTAAAACTGTGAACCTACTTTTGCCTACTCCTGTATATGAGAGATCTCTGATATAAATATATGTGAAATACATATACCAAGGTATACATGATTTAAATTATAATACATGTATACATGTATATGTGCATATATAATTTAAATACATCATTTAAATTAGAATGCATGTATATATGTATATATATGCATTAATATAAAATGTTTCGTTTATCAAAGGCAGGACATGCTAAACTCTGCCACTATAACTGTGCTTGCAGCATTTCATCACAGTTTTGAGTTTATGTGTTTTAGTGATTTGTTCTTGACTGTTTATGGCTTCCATATTCTTTATCAATGAAACTACTGCCATTTTCAATATAAGGCAGCTCCTTTTGTATCATTTCATAGTTTTTCCTTTAAATTCATCTTTCATTTTGACATTATTATTAACTTCTTGTAATTTGCAATTAACGTGTAATTTAATTTTCTTAATGTAGTCTGTCTTTGTCTTTTAGTTTGAGAATTATTATGATTTACAGATTACTATCTTCTGGTGTTGTTTTGCTTTATGATTATTATTACCTATGCTTCTTCTCTGCTATATTTTCTGTTTCGATAGACTATAATTTCTGAGAAACCAGTGTTGAGGATGCAGCCGTATTCATTTGATTTTCCTTTGTGTAATTTGAAGATATTTATATTTATATGATTTCCTTATCCCATACTTCTTGCTGTTGTTTCAGTTACCTGAAGTGACAACCCTGGTTGAGGAAGGATCTGAGACTTTGGATTCCTATTGTTATTGCCCTCATTACACTGTTATTATAGTTAAGCATTGTGACTGCATCAAAAGGAGACAGGAGAATAAAAACCAGTAACTCTCTTATTCTCCTCCTAAACTGGAAATACTGAATTACTTTTTAAGTCTAAGTCCTCACACTTCCGGATGATGCTCACATATCTGATCGTTTAAATTATTCAAACAGTTGGTGCATGTGAAATAGGAGATACGAAGATAAAGAGAAAATTGGGGCATTTCCAACTGGTGTTTGAAAACCATGGGGACACCTAGTTTTCGGGGTGTTCGTAGTTCCTGTGAATAATATGTACATTCAGTGAGGGGGAAAAACAATTAAAGGAGTGAACATGTTATCAGGACTCTAGAAACTCAATTGTTTTCAAGTTTAATTTATGACTAACTAAATCCACCATAATACATTCAGAACAGGGGAAGGGGACTGAATTGGTCTTTTGTATAGCCACCAAGAGTGTTTTAAAATTTGAGAATATAATTTAAAAATATTCCTGAGTAAGAATGCTGATAATCTTAATATCAAGGTAACAATTTTTAAAAATAAGTATAAAGAATTCTTTTCTGAAAAGGGAAGATGGTGCCTTCACGAATTCACAGTGCTCGCTTTATCTGGGGCACAGCCAGGTGCCAATGCCCTCTGGTGCTCTGTGCCTACAGGTGTTAGTCATTAAGCCCTGGCAAAGCAGCCCATCATCCCTGAGAGCTTTGCCAGAAAGCCTGACAGTTAAGTTTTAAGCAGAAACACAT